GTAGCGTTTCAGCACAGACTGGACTGGCGTCTTCCTCAGACCCGCCCTGAGTGAGCTGTCATCAATCCGCCATCGTTTCACCCGCTGGAGCAGATGTAGACAAGAATGTCTCCTAAGCGATTGAGGTGTTCTGTTGTTGGATGTAATAATGAACATAGCAGTCGTCATTTACTCCCGACATTTGAGCCGCTGAAGACGCAGTGGGTTACCTTTGTTTTTGAAGGGAATGCGCCCCCGATCTACCTACACGCGTCTATCTTCGTGCGAATCATTCGTGGTCGAGCTTCACCTACAGAAAAAGTGAGTGTAAGGTTGTTTAATGAATCTTTGCAAATCGCTTTTCCTAATAATGTGCTAATGCTACAAAACGGCTTGCTCTGAAAAGAGCTGTTTTTGACAGGGTAAAAAAGGCGTTTTTTTACACTACCATTGAGAAATTTCTAATTTTCTAATACATTTCTATTAAGGCATTCATTGAGTTTTCCACTCGCTACAGTAAATATGTTAATCTGACAATCTTTATCTTATTATTTAAGATATAATTTATCTAACACTATATTTGTGAGGTTCATCATGTATCTGCAGGTGTTTTCATGGACCATTGAGTGAAGTTTCAAAAACAATTTTTTAAATGTGAGCTAAAGCTCTGATCCAAAGAAAGACCCGAAACAAAAATGACAATAAAGAACACAAAGACATAAAGTTACAATTGTATTTGTTATTTATTGAGTAAATTTTAATAGAATCACCACTGAATGATAAATCACACATAGTCTTGTATGAGATGCACAAAGCAGAGTAGATGCAGCTGAGAGCGACTGAAGCTGGATGTGGAGAATGAAGGAGTCGCTCATGTGCTGTTAGTCTCCAGTGAGACACGAGTGAGAAGAGCAGCAGATCTACTCTGAACACTGCTGTCTCGTCACGTGTGCAGTGAGCGCAGGCTGGCCGCACCGTGTGGCCTCACAGCTCACTGAGACGCTCTCCATCCACTCCTGCTCAGAGAGAGTCAGGCTGCTGCTCCAGCTGTACAGACCGTCCTTCTCCAGGAGCCCAGCGCTGCTCTCCTGAGACCTGCTGCTCCCGTCCACCTTCCAGCTCAGGCTCCAGTCTGACGGGAAGCCCTTGCTGGCCACACACACCAGTGTCGCTGTCTTCTTTGAGGGAAGCCCGCGCTGGCCACACACCCCAGCGTCGCTGTCTTCTTTGAGGAGATCTCTGCACTGGAGGGCAGCAGGATGCTCACTTTAGGATGAGTGACGCCTGAGAGAAGCACAGAGAAAGCATTACTTCAAGCATTAAAGAGAAAACTAGGAGAAATTCAGCAAGACATTGATAAACAACATCCAGATTCAGAAAAAATTATTCCATTAACATTAATGCTCACAAATTCCTACACATGAAAAATTTTTACAATCTGGTTCACATTCTGGTAAATATGCTGATTAATTACAAATACAATACAATAAGGAAATATCAAGGAGTTTTTAGGCACAAAAACTCATGCATCACTTCAGTCTATACAGAAACTTAAACCCCCCCCCCCCCTTTTGGTTTAACAAGTTAACAAGCAAAACTAAGATTCTGACTGAGAAAAAAATTAAATTTCAGGTCACTGAGCATCATTTTTACAAAAAAAGAATTTACTGATAAGGACAAATAAGAATCCAAAAGAAATAGCAAGTACTAGTGTTTCTCTATAATTTTTGTACTTGATTCACTTTAACAGCTTTAAACTTTCAACAAACAAAAAGCTGATGTAAATGTTCTTAGAGATTATTTTTTTACAAAGCTTCTGATCACCAAAGGGATAAAAGTTATATTGAAGTTATATTATTGATTTGAAGTGTCATTTTCATTATCAGATAAGAAATAAACTCAATAAATGCAGTAATTCACTATAAGTAAGATGGCCACAAATGTATACCCACAAATGAGAAATTGTGGGTATACATTTGTATAAAACCACAAAGGAAATGTTGTGTTTCACGTGCACTATAAATTTTAACTTAATTTAAATATATTAAGTTTATAAACATTATTACTTCTGCAACAGAGCTGCTTCATTAAGAAAAAATACAATTAAGCCTATAATTTGCAGTTTGCATTTCATTTAACAATAAGACTAGGAAAAATTCATCAATTTGTGTCTTTAAAATAGCTTTACTAAAAATCAACATAGTAAAATTGATTTTTTAAATATTGTCTTAAATTTTCAAGTAAAATGTGAAGCCAGAATACCAGCCTAATGTTATTGCATTTCATTTTGTTTTATCTATGAGGGAAAAAAAAGAGCTGAAGCCCTGATATGAAAACTCATAAAATCAAGTAGAAATGTCAGAAATGATTGTGGCTAGTTCAGTGGATGAAAACCATCTCTACAGTGTTGACTGACAAACATTCAATATGTAATAATTGCTTAAAAATAATATTAAAAAACACACTGAAAAGTACTCTTTTAGTTGTTGTATTAATAATATTAATATCTGATGATTTACTTACTGCCAACATCCAGTTTGGTGCCGCTGCTGAAAGGCAACCACAGTGATACAAACTAATAGAGCAGCTGAACAAAAACCTGCTGGACGCTTCACTAACTGCACAAACACACATCAACTGAGTCTCCAACCAACACAGTGACTCACAGCAGAAAATACCTTCCTTTACTTCATGTGCTTTATGCAGTCTGCATTATTACTAAAGCATGAAACTGAATTTAAAAAAGTGAATGTTTTATATCATGTGTGATGCGACTCACAATCAAACTCATTGATTCAGTGACTGACAGAGACATGTGTGTGATGATCCTCATGTCGGTTAATAAACTACTGGAACATATAAGGATGTGGAGTAGATTTGGAGAGAAAGCACGCTGTTTCAGAATGAGCAAAGAACATCAGAAGATTTTTGCTCATTTTTACTCCATGTTCTCACTGTCTTCAGATTGTTTTCAGGTAAATGACATTGACACTGCATATTCCAGATACTGAGAGTGTTTATAGTGCTGTGAGTTTAACACTTCATCACTGACACACACAACAATCTTCATCAACATGACCTTCATCATCATCTTCATCTGGACTCTCACAGCGTTTGCTCAAGGTTTGTGCAGCACAAGTTTGATATCAATTCATTTCTTCAAGGATATTGTCAACCATAATATGACTGCTAGTGATGAGTTTTGAGTTGATTTTCTTCTTGTTGTGTGTTTCAGAGGACAGATCATCATCACTCAGAGTCCATCAATGACAGCAGCTCAACCAGGAGAAACAGTCAAAATCAACTGCAAAACCAGCAGAGAAGTGATCAAGCATAGTGGGCGTGATGGTTTATCCTGGTACTTACAGAAACCTGGAGAAGCTCCTAAACTCCTGATTTATTTTGCAAGCACACTCCAGTCAGGGAGTCCATCTAGATTCAGTGGCAGTGGATCTGGGACTGATTTCACTCTGACCATCAGTGGAGTCCAGACTGAAGATGCTGCACATTATTACTGTATGAGTGACCATGGTAGTTATGTGTTGACACAGTGATAAAGAGTCGTGCAAAAACCTCCATCAGTCAGAGTCACAGTGACTGAGGAGAACTACGCATGTGCTCACTGAGATATGAGAGAAATCAGCTCTATTAGACTGTGATCTGTCCTGTGACAGACGGGTTTGACTCAACAATGCTCAGAATCAGAAAAAAACAGAGTGTGTAAAGTGATACCAAATCAAAGAAACAATAATATCATTGTGCATTCATTCATACACTCATATTGAATTTTAAAGTCATATAATCATTGGGTAGCACCAGTAGGCGAACATAAAAATGATCTTGAGCAGTTTCTCAGGTAGCTACTTTATCTCAAGCTGATTTTTTTATTTTATGTTTTTTTTTACTCATCTGATTTATCACTCATAACTCATTTCTCATGAGCAGAAGTGAAACTGATCCAGTTCAGAGCGTTGAACCGATCAAACAGTGAAACTGTGAGTTTGAGGTGAAAATCAGATTTGCATTGGCAGCTTTAGTGATTCTGATCGTCTCAGAATAGAGCAGCTCCGTCTCCAGAGACCATGTTCAAACCCCAAGAGCTTCAGTTCACATTTACTGCTAAACGCAGCTGTTCTCAACTATTACAAGCCATCAACAGCAGCTGAAACTTTAGTGAAGGACTTTGAATGATGCAGTCGAACACAAATGTATTGAATATTCAAACTTGTTTTAGGTTTTACTTCCGTGCCTTGTATTGGATGGCATGTTCTATATAGACAGTGTGAACCGGCATCTGTGGAAAATCATCCTTTGTGTCCAAGTTGGTCCTGATTCAATGAAAATGATGGAAATATACAGAAGCCCAGATCTCCACTAATCTTTAGGAAACGGATAAATGATGTGCTAATGTTATTCTGTTTTAAATGAAGTATATTTTATATCACCAACTGAAATGAATGGCCTCGTAAAATAAATCATCATAAAGATTCTAAAAATAGATGTTTTAGGGGACAGAAGTAATATTCTGAACATTACAGTAGTATACAGCATCCTACAAAATAAAAGTCTTGATGAAGCAGCATAGATAGATAGATAGATCATTTAGATATTTTTTTAAATAATTCAATTCACTTGTGTAGCACAGATTAAACAGTGATCTGCTTGTGTTTATCAGGTATTTGTTAAAGTCCCCACGAAATCAAAATGAAAGTTTTTTGGGTGTTAGTATCAATACTCTAGCCCAAGCTGTGATATAAACGAACGCTATTGGCTATTTTAAAAAGGGGCGGGGCTGCTTGATATGTCCCGCCCTGTCTTCCTGTTTCAGTTCAAATGACGTCAACACATAGAGTAACACTGCATGTTTCTAAGCATTTCAGGGGACCTTTAACCAAAAATAATGAAATATTACTAAGAATAATTAGTATAGTAGTAACAAATGAATGATCACAAAATATGCTTTTTACTGTGTTATTGTGGATATTTTTATTTTATTTTGTTTTGTTGCAGAAGCTTACAACAAGGTGAGAACAGGGAGAAAATGGAGAGCACAGACAGCGAAGGAAGCGACTTAAGGAGCCAATGAGAGCTGCGGAAACCTAAAAACCTGGACGGGGCCATGACCTGACTGGGTTTGAGGCAAAGAAAGGTGCAACAGGGACTGAAAAAAACATAAGCCGGCAGGATGCAAAGGTGTGGATCAGGTGGGAAGCAGCAACAGGTCTCTTATGTGCTATATGGACTCTTAAAAATAAAAGTTTGCAGTGATGCCAAAACATACAATTTTGGGTTAGAACTTTCAGTGAACAGTTCATAAAATAATTTTTTTTTGTGTGTGTGAAGAACATTTTAATAATCTGAATAACCTTTTTCCACTATAAATAACCTTTTGTGGAATGGAAAGGTTTACGTAATAGATGTTAAAGGTTCTTCATGGAACCATAGATAATAAAGAACCTTTATTTTTAAGAGTGTATATTAATTCTAGACTTAAAAAAACCTATGTATGATGGCCTGCATGGTGCATTTTCAAAATGACATATGTGAAACTGAAATGTAGGATTACAAAAGGGCATAAGCAGACTATATAATGAAATACACATGAACAGTAATTTATATATAAAGTGATATGACGTTTTACAGTGTAATATAAAATATAAGCCACAGTATTACTCAGTCTCCCCCTCATTCCTCTTTCTTGAGTATTAAACAAGAGGACTGTCTTCCCACCCAGAAACCTGGCAGAATTTTCTCCTTTATGGGATTTTTAAACCTGTGAAGAAGTTTCACTTCCTTTTTCTTTGAATCTTCCTCTGTCTCCACGGTGTAGAAGCAGAGCAGGCCTACGGGCTGATCTACATACACGCCTATAGTGCAGCACTGAGGCACGTCTGACACCCTGCTGTTGATTCCTTTATGCCAGGCGTCATAGCAGGACCCGGCCCAACCCAGACCCCACGATTCCTCGTTCTCCCCGAGGCCACAGGGACCGTCGCCTGCCTTCCTCCCAGCAGCCTCATATGCTGCTCCTATAACCACCCAGCCAGAGTACAGCACCTCCCAATAACAGCGCGACGCCCAGACAGACTCCTTACACAGCACCTGAACACACACACAA